TCCAGACTCCTGATCATCCTTGTTGCTCTCTTCTGCACCCTCTCTATTTTGCCCACATCCTTTTTGAAATGAGGCCTCCAGAACTGCACACAGTACTCATGGTGCAGCCTGACCAAGGCAGTATACAGAGGGGTTATGACCTCTTGTGATTTTGATGCTATGGCCCTTTTAATACAACCCAAGCCTGAATTTGCCTTTTTTGCCACCACGTCACACTGACTTCTCATATTTAGTTTACAGTCCACTCTTACCCCAAGATCTCTTTCGCATACACTACTCCCTAGAAACGTATCCCCCATCCAGTATTTGTGCTTGACATTTTTGTGGCCCAGATGCAATACTGTGCATTTATCTTTGTTGAATTGCATCCTGTTTGCAACTGCCCACTTCTCCAGAGTATTCAGGTCTTGTTGAATTTTAACTCTATCTTCTTGGGTGTTTGCTACTCCTCCCAATTTGGTATCATCAGCAAATTTAATGAGTAGCCCTTTTACCCCTTCATCCAGATCATTGATAAAAATATTGAAAAGTACCGGGCCTAAAACCGAGCCCTGTGGCACCCCACTGCGCACCTCCCTCCAATCTGATGAACCGCCATAGACCACCACTCTTTGGGTGCGGTCCTCTAACCAGTTCCCTATCCACCAAACTGTCCTATAGTCCAGTCCACAGTCTTTCAGTTTTCCCATCAGAATGTCATGGGGAACCTTATCAAAAGCTTTACTGAAATCCAGGTAAATCACATCAACAGAGTTCCCACGATCCAGTAAGCTCATCACACGATCAAAGAAGGAAACCAGGTTGGTCTGACACAATCTATTGGGGACAAAACCATGCTAACTTCCCCAGATCATTAAATGGTCTTTCAGATGCTTACAGATCGATCCCTTTAAAATCTGCTCTAATATCTTCCCAACTGACTGGCCTATGGTTTCTGGGTCATCCTTCTTCCCTCTCTTAAAGATTAGGATAACATTTGCTCTTCTCCAATCTTGTGGCACATCCCCAGTCCTCCAGGAGGCCTTGAAGATGATGGACATAGGCTCTGCCAGTTCATTAGAAAGTTCTTTGAACACTCTTGGGTGCACACCATCTGGCCCAGGGGATTTGTATTCGTCCAGTGCAGCCAGGTGCCTCTCCACAACCTTCCTGTCAATGACAACTGGACACTCAGGTGTCCCGTCATGTCCTCTACCATCTCTAGATGGGCTCGAGTTCTTCAGGGAGAAAACAGAGGCAAAAAAGTCATTAAGCCTGTCTGCTTTTTCTCTGTCCTCCACCAGAGTTTCTTCTTTTACTCCCGAAAGCGGTCCAGTTGCCTCTTTTACCTTGTGTTTGCTTCTCACGTATCTGTAAAAGTTTTTCTTATTGTAACGAGCCCCCTGGGCCAGCTTTGGTTTCTCTGATGGCTGATCTGCAGTACCTAGTAACTTTCATATACTCCTCTTTAAAGGTCTGACCTTCCCTCCATTTCCTTTTATCCCCTTAGCTTCTTCTGGAGCTCTCGGTTCATCCAGATTGGTTTCTTGGAGCCCTTACCATGTTTCCATCTTCCTGGAATAGTAAGGGCTTGAGCTTGCAAAATCTCATGTTTGAGAAGAGCCTACCCTTCACTTGCTCCTTTCCCTTCCAGCACACTCCCCCATGGAATGACTCCCATCAAGCCTCTGAATTGGTTGAAGTCAGCCCTACGAAAATCTAACCTACAAGTCTGGCTACGAACTTCCTTGACCCCCCCACAGCAACTGGAATTCAAGGAGGACATGGTCACTCACCCCTAAAGTATCTCCTTCCTTCTCACCCACACAAGAGGATTAGCTGTCACACTAATCAGGATATTTGTTATTTTCCTCTCAATGTGACCCTTTCTATTATTTTCTTAGAATGAGTACACACGTATGAACACACAAAAACTCATACTGGACTAGATGGACCACCGATCTGATGCAGCAGGGCTCTTCTTCTGTTCTCCCTCTTCATCTGACCAGTGTAGGAACAGTGTTCTCTGCGTGGCAAACCTGGAGATGCACTTCTCCTGGCTGGAGATTGGGAACCCAAGTGTGTGAGTGCTAATTGCATAAGGTAAAAACATCTTGCTGAGTTCGTCATGAGAACCTAAGTTGGCAGACAGGGAAGATAAAAGAGTGCGCTATTAGCATAACACATTCCATGGTATGCTGTAATGTATGAGAGGGGAGGGAGGAGGGAAAGGGAGAGAGTTTTTTTCTTAATAAAAGGCTGTGAAGTGAGAACACTTCAGTCAGTTCTTCTGCAGACCTGTGTCCTGTCGTTCTTTGAACCCCTGCAACCTTCAGACCAGCATGGCAGGCAATGTTTGGAGCAGCTTACCCATCACATCAAAGAAGGCATCTTAAATCTATGGGAAAAGACAACAACAAAAAAATCACATGCCTGATAAGAATAGATGGCAAAAACAGCTGGAACATTCCCACCTAACTAAAGTAAACATAGATTCAGGTGGGGTAGCCATGTTCGTCTGAAGCAGCAGAACAAAGTCTGGATCCAGCAGCACCTTTAAGACCAACCAAGTTTTATCCTGGGTATAAGCTTTCAGAAGTAAACATAACCTCTGAATTTGGATGTTGAGAAAAAGGAAGGAAGATTTGGGGATTTTCAAACATTAGAGAATCAAAAACTGACAGCTTCAAGCATCCCTAGTTTATTGGGTGCAACCTAGGCCTTACTTTTCCTATCCTGCCAGCTAGAAATATCAAGAGATCACCCCACGCAAGCACAGGCCTGGTTTAGATCAGGAGGGCAGGACATAGGGACAAGGGACCTCCCCCCTCCTATTTTCCCAGACCAAAATAACTCTGACACTATTTTCTCTATTGGGGAAACCTACACATACTAATGGGCTATTAGATTCAGCTGGGTAGCCGTGCTGGTCTGAAGCAGTAGCACGTATTTTGAGAGTGGCACCTTTAAGACCAACAAAGTTTTATTCAAGGTAATATAGGGATGCCGGTCTCCAGGTGGGCCCTGGGGATCCCCTGGAATTACAGTTCATCTCCACAGATTGGTTCCCCTGGGGAAAATGGATGCTTTGGAGGGTGGACTCTATGGCATTGAACCCCACTGAGGTCCCTGTCCTACCCAAATCTCCAGTAGTTTCCCAACATAGATCTGGCAAACCTATTAACCCCCTTCCATTCCCCACCAGTGGCCAGGGGGGAACGCAACCCTAAGGTATAAGCTTTGGTATGCATGCACACTGCTTCAGTGTAATGTAAATCGCTGCAGGAGTCAGGAAAGCAAGGGGGGGGGTAGTGGCCTTAAGCACCCTCCTCCCTACCCAGTCATAAACAGAATCAGACCTCCAAGTTCCTGGGAATTAATTTCCAAGCACAAACTTTCCAAACTACCTCTATACTGGGGGGTGGACAGGCCGGCTTTGAAACATGTGAATTCTCCCCAAAGGGACTCCTGTTACAATTATCTTAAAGGTGGGAGCCAGGGCTATTTTTGGGCAGGAGCACAGGAATGGAGTTCTGGCTGGCTCCCAAGTTGGCCACGCCCAGCAGAAACTCATTAACACAATAGGCCACACCCAACAGCAGGAACTCATTAGGATTGGCTACAATTAGGGGGTGTGGCCTAACATGCAAAGGAGTTCCTGTTCCAAAAAAAAGCCCTGGCGTTTTGACAACAAACAAGGTAAAGAGAATAAGAAGGTAACATGGGGGTGTGGCCTAATATGCGAATAAGTTGTGTGGTTAGGGGTGTGGGTGCTAATGAGTTCCTGCTGTTGGGTATAGCCTATTATGCTAATGAGTTCCTGCTGGGCTTTTTCTAGAAAAAAAGCCCTGGTGGGAGCTATATCAGAATGTGGACATTTCCATTCTCCACGTGGATTCCGGTGTGTACTATCCCCAGAACGCTATGCTGGCGGCCAAATCTTACGCAGACAGATCTTAAAACCCACGTATGAGTCGGCGCTGCAGCCCTCCGAGGGTTGGCGAGCTCGTTCGGATCCGCGCCAGAGACCCACCAGTCCGCTAAGAGACAGCAGCAGGAAGAGGGCGGAGTTGCTTAAGTGAGTGAGGCGTGGGAAAGAAGGCGGTGTGACGGGGAGCCCCTCCTAACGCTACTTTACCCGGCGGGAGGTCTGGAACTCTGGAGTCCAGTTTGTCTTCCCCTGGGGGCCGTAGAGTGGGGAGAGAGGCTGTTGCTGTGACACGACTCACGCTAGTCCTCCACATCTCTGAAGAGAACAAAAGCTGCAGTGGAGACAGGCTGGTGGCTTGAAGGGGCTTCCTTCCCCCCCAAAGAGCGCTCACAAAATGTTATAGGCTAAAGCCTGGCTCTCCTCCTGCATCGTGTGTCCTTTTGGCTCTTCAGTGTCCTAGCCGCAGCTATAGAACAAAATTTTGAGTCCAGTTTAATTCTGGGTGTAAGTTTTCGTGCGCACGCACAGTTCTTCAGCTGTGTTTAACAAGCTCCTTCCCCGCGACAGCCAGAGGAACTGCTGCCTGCTGTTAGTGAAGGAACTTGACATCGCCCGGTCTCCCTGCCAGTATTTCAGAGACTTTGCATTAATTGAAACGCTCTTTTACGCCACTTGTCGGTAATATCCCCAAAGTTTTACAAACGGCAGTACTGCAACCAACAAAAGAGAGGGATCTCTATCTGGTGCGTTTTTTGTCCTCAAGGGACTCCCTCCCTCATTTGTTGCTCACAATAATCCTAAAATGTAGGTGAGGCTGTCTGCGAGTCGCTGCAGAGCTAGAGAGTAGCTGAAAAAGGAACAGTGCAGCCGCGACACCAAGGAGCAACCCTCCCCCGGTTGGGGTATTATCGTTCAGCTACGGTTTAGATTTCACTTCTCTTGCAAGTTCCCTCTTCAGTAAGTCTCTACCTTACAAATAAATCAGCTTGCAAATCGTTTCCAAGAAATAGTGCCACTAAACGCTTTCATTCCCCCCCTTCTTTGAAGGGGGGGCCACGATTAAATACTTTCGTTTTCGTTTCTACCCCACCTTATTTAAGAGAAGGAGGCTCGCTTTCATTTTCTCACGCTGAACAGCAGCAGCACGAGAGAGCGGCCGTTTCTCCAGGAGTAAGTACAACGGGTACGATGTTCCTTAGGAGGGTGTCCGTTTCGATTGGCCCCTTTCTTGTTATTTAAAAGCTGAGCTAAGCCTTAACTGAGACGAATGCGATGCCTTGGAACACATCCCCCGCGGTCGCGCCACGTGCAGCTTTGGTGCATGAGATAGGACAGTAAAGAAGAATGCCTCCGAACAAGCAGAGTTGCCTCTCCTGGTTGCTTGGGATTGTTGGCTGACTGTGTCAAACCCCTCAAGGTTTTAGTGTTGCCAACCTCCAGGTGATGGCTGGGGAGCTGGGATTACAACTAATCTCCAGGCGACAGAGATCAGGTCACCCGAAGAAAATGGCTGCTCTGGAAGGTTGACTCTGTGGGACTATCACTATACCTTCTCAGCTCTCTCCTGTCCCCAAACTCCACCCTCCTCAAGCTCCACTCCCTAAATATCCTGCTATTTCTCAACCTGGAGCTGGCAGCCCAACAAGCCCAACAAAATTAGCATTGTTTTTGAGGTCCTCAGCAATGCTCCCTCTAAAGTGGGGAGTCTTGTGAGCCAAAATTCTACTTTGTGAGCAACTGGCATTAAAGGTGTGAGTGAGCAATTTGGCTACTGCATACATTAGTTTGCTCTGGAGCCATCCTTCCTCAGCTAAGACAAAAATGTGTGAGCCGGAGGCTAAAAAACTGTGAGCTAGCTCACGCCAACTCAGCTGAGAGGAAACACTGGTCCTCAGAACCTTTTCACAGACAGATATGAGATTTAAAATAGGCTGATTTTGGATAGGCAGTGCTGGAGTATTTATTTGAATGCTGTTTACCTTTTTGTTTTTCATTTTCTCTCTCCCTGTAATTCTTACCATTATTATTGGTATGGTATGGGGAGGTAAACTGATGTGACTGTGGTGTGAGAAGGGGGCGGGGTATTTGGGGCCTGGTAAGAACCAGACCAGCTCAGGACTCTCTGTGACCTTTTGTCCTGCTTGCATTTCTCTCGTTTTCTGTCTCTACTGTTGTATCTGTGTTTATGTTATGTGTTTTGGAAGCCTTTGGATGGTGGGGAGGAGGGAAAGGGCACCCCAGTTCCTGGTACTGTACCCCAGTTCCTGGTACAGCGTTGCCAGCTCCGGGTTGGGAAATACCTGGAGATGTGGGGAATGGAGCCTATGGAAGGTGGGGTTTGGGGATGGGAGAGACTTCAATGGGGTGTAATCCCATAGAGTCCACCTTCCAGCCATTTTCTCTAGGTGAACTGATCTCAGTCTCCTGGAGGTCAGTTGTGATCCCAGGAGATTGCCAGCTACCGCCTGAAGGCTGGCAACCATGAGGGGCACAGGGCCGCCATCTCCCAGGTGGGAAATTCATGGAGATTTAGGGGTAGATCCTGGGGGAGCTTGGGAAGGAAAGCCGGAAATAATGCCATAGAGTCCTCCCTTCCAAAGCCACCATTTTGTCCAGAGGAACTGATCTTGATAGTAAGTTCCAGGAGATCTCCAGGTCGCATGTTGGCAACCATAACTGTGACTGGGGGAGATGCCCTGGGGTTCTGATTCCTGTTCTGTTCCCTACCCCTCCCTGTACTTACTAAAAAAACCCATTCATTCCATTCATTCATTTCTTCACATTTATAGCCCGCCCTTCCCAGAAGTGGGCTCAGGGTGGGTAACATTTCATTTATACAAACATATTAGTACAGTAAAACTTGGAATTTAAAACATCATCATAGATGATAGCATAGAAAAGTTTGGTTATGGGAGGTTCCTGGCCATAGCCAGTGGTCATTACATAGCCGAAAGAATAACTGGGTGACAGACACCTCAGGAAGGCCATGTATGGATGTCCACTGCCTCAGCCAAAGGCCTGGCAGAAGAGCTCCGTCTTGCAGGCCCTGCAGAATTCAGGTAGATCTCGCAGGGCCCTGGTCTTAATGGGGAGCGTGTTCCACCAGGCAGGGGCAAGGGCAGAAAAGACCCTGGCCATGGTTGAGGCAAGACGGATGTCTTTTTGGGCCAGGGGCTACCAGGATGTGATGATCCATCGAGTTTAGTGCTCTTTGGGACATATACGGGAAGAGGCGGTCCCTCAAATATGTTGGACCCAGGCGGTGTAAGTCTTTAAAGGTTATTACCAACACCTTGAAAGGGATCCAGAACTCTACTGGTAACCAATGCCCTGTACAAGAAGAATGATTACAGTACATAATGCAAAACCTGAAGAGAAAATGAATGGCTACACTGGAAATGATTAACAGTGCTGCCAACAATTGAACATAAGCAAACCGGCTATCTGTCTAACATTGTTTAATCGCCCAAGATGTTGAGCAGTTTAAAAACCAGGGGTCATTTCGTAGAAAAAGAGCTAGGGGAACTCATTAGCATAACTCATTAGCATATGCCACACCCCCTGACACCACCAGAAGTGTGTCATAAGGCCACACCCCCTGACATCACCGGAAGTGTGTCATAAGGCCACACACCCCGCCCCCAACGGTCCCGGCCGCTGCCACCGGCCTTGCAGCTCCACTGCTGAGCCCCATGAGGGGCCCGGCGGGAGTGCAAGGTAGCCCCGCGAAGGCCCTCCCTGGCCCCAGGCAGGCAGGGGTGGGGAGAGGCGGGGAGGAAGCAACTTACCCTCCCTCTTCTCCTGCCTCCTCCTGGCTGAATGAGGGCCGGAAGCAGGGGGCGGGGCTTCATCATGTGCCCCGCCCCCCGTACCTCCCCCCGGGGCAACGTGATCCCCCGTGTTCCCCCCCCGAAATGACCTCTGTCAAAAACCAAAAACCTGGAAGGGAGAAAAAGTAAATGACAGATGGATGGGGGATCCCATTGGGTTAGATGAAAGAAATCAGGGCAGTTCAGTGTATTGGAGAAGCAGTCTAATAAGAGGGGAGGAAATAGGGCTGGAGTGGAGGTGGGGATTCTTCTCCCCTGCAGGTCCCTCTCTTGGCATATATTTATTATTTATTTGTTTTTAACATATATGCAGTGCTATCTCTAGGTTGCTTTATTTTGGCGGAGTGGTTAAGAGCTATGGACTCTAATCTGGAGAACCGGGTTTGATTTCCCCACCCCTTCACATGCAGCCAGCTGGGTGACCTTGGGTCAGTCACAAGTTCTCTCAGAGCGTTCTCTTAGAGCTATTCTCTCAAGAACAGTTCTCTCTGAGCTCTCTAAGCCCCACCTACCTCACAGGGTGGCTGTTGTGGGGAGAGGAAGGGAAGGGGATTGTAAGCCGCTCTGAGACTCCAAGTGAAGGGCAGGGTATAACACCTCCTCCTCCTTCGTGATACCCCTCCTATAAAGTGGAAATTGAACCTCACTTTTGAATTAGTCTTGTTAAATGAAGGCTGGTGCATCAGCACGCTCTATTGGATGGCTAAGGAGAGACGTGCTAGAGGTTTATAAAATTAGGAGTGGATAGAGGGAGCTTTTTCTCCCGCCCCCCACAATACTCGCAGTTGGGGACACCTAATGAATTGGGGGGGGGAGGATAGGTTCCTAACAGACAAAAGGAGATACTTCTTTACTCAGACTATGGAATTCACTGGGGGGGGGGTAGTGATGGCCACAAGCACAGATAGCTTGAAAGGGTGGTTAGTCAGATTCATGAAGATATGTCCCATCAGTGTCTCTTAGCCATGGTAGGAAAAGCAAACCTTCATACCCAAAGGCAACAGCAGGGGAGGGCCAAGGGCTTTTATACCCTGCTTGTTTGGCCCACCAGCTGCGCTGTGCAAGACAGGGAGGCTGGACTAGATGGACCACTAGTCTGATCCAGCAGGGCTCTTCTTGTGTTTGAGAGCATCATGCTGAGGGATGATTTTGGAAAATGCTCAATTACCAAGTGATAATTTTGTAACAAAAAAGCCTGCTCTGTTGCAAGGGTTGGACCTTTCGGGCCCTGTCCAGCTTTGGATACTGTTGCTTCTCCAGCCTCCAGTTTCTGTGGTTTACAGTAAAGAATTGTCATAATAACCTGACTGCAGAAGCAGAACTCATCCCCCTCCCCTAAAAAAAATGCAATAGCCTCTGCTCTGTATGCAGCAGGTCCCAGTTTCAATCCCTGGTATCTGCAGTTGAAAAGGATCAGGCATATGATGTGAGACTCCTCCACCAGAGACCTTGGAGAGGTGGCTGCCAGTCTGGGTAGGCAATGCCGACTACACATGTAAACTGGGGGGGAGGGGCAATTTTTCCATGGGGGACTCAGCCTCCCCTTGCAACCAGTTCCAGGCAATATTGAGTTTTAAACTTTCACGTGTGGATTCCCCCCCCCCCCCCTTTGGGCTGGAAAGAAGTCACTGTGTGATGGCTTTCCAGGCTCTTTGTTGTTGTTCAGTTGCACAGTCGAGTCTGACTCTTCGCAACCCCATGGACCACATCACACCAGGCCCTCCTGTCTTCCATTGTGTTCCGCAGTTTGCTTGATTTCATGTTCATTGCATCAATGACACTGTCAGACCATCTCATCCTTTGCCGTCCCCTTCTTCTTTGACCTTCAATCTTTCCCAGCATCAGGGTCTTCTCCGGTGAGGGCTCCCTTCTCATTTGGTGGCCAAAGTATTTCAGCTTCAGTATCTGGCCTTCCAGGGAACAGTCAGGGTTGATTTCTTTTAGGATTGACTAATTTGATCTCCTTGCAGTCCAGGGGACTCTCAAGAGTCTTCTCCAGCACCATAATTCAAAAGCATCTATTCTTCATTGCTCACGTTTTTACAAATTGTTGTGTCCACTGACCGCCACCAGAGGTCAGCGAATACCCCAGAGCTTGACTCTGGAGGAACAATGGGACAAGGCTCCTGGTCTCTCCACCGAGGGACCAATGGGACATTGGCGGGAGATTCAAACCCACCAACGGGACCTAGGGGGTGTCCCCAGATGTGTATATAGTTGGCCCACGGGCCGTTTTCCCTTTGTCTTGGTTGTGTAGCAGTGAGCGTGCAGGATGCTACGCGAACCGCAGCGGCCTTGCCATGCGGCTAACCCACTACACAATACAAATGCTAATTGAGC